GTGAAGTGTCTGTTCATATCCTGTGCCCATTTTTCTATTGGATTATTTACCTTTATCTTATTGTGGTGTTCAAGTATTTTATAAATTCCGGATATAAGTCCCTTATCTGACATGTCATTACTAAAAAAAAGTTAATTGGTGGAGAGAAGGGAAGGAGAGGGCATAAAATGTGTGACTGTAAATGAATTAAAATCTAACTTTTCTGTGAACTTGTTAAAATCATGATTAAAACTTAAAAAAATTACTTTATTAAAAAGAAAGCAGAGATATACTTAAGAGTATTTTCTCTTGACTAATTTGTAATTGTCAAGGTAAAGATAGAATCATTAGTCTAAAATTGTATAGACAGGGAAGACAAGCACATAAACTTGACTGGGGAAGCCTCAATGGTTCCCACAGCATGCTTTATAAACTCTCCCTGTTCTGCCTGCATCATTTACGGTAGTAAAAGAGAAACATCTGGCAGCCTGTAAGAAAGCAAAAAAACAAGCCTGGAAAAAATAAGGAAAGGCAGGGAGGGAGAGAGAAAGAAAGAATGTGCTATTTCCAGTGCCTGCAGTGTTCTGAGATATGATAGGATGTTATCTCACTTCATTTCTGTATAGTCTGAATTCAAATGCTTGTTCTTTAAAAAGAAAAAAAAAACACAAGGAAAAAGAAAAGCCCTCACTTCAGACATTAGCATTAAGAAATGCTTCTTTCTCCTTCTTCCACTTCCTCACTCAAATCTAAACCTTTACCCATCCAGTGCCCCATAAAGTAATTCTTTAAAGATCATTAAGAAGCTCTGCTAATCAAACAAATCTCTGATAGCCTTGATGGTAGGAGGTTGTGCTGTCAACCCAGAGGTGGGAGTTCCAACCCATCAGCTGCTCCTAGGCTCAACAATGTAAGAACTATCTACAACTGTTGAAAACCCACTGGAGGGTGAGCAGTCCCGTAGGACTGTTTGACTTAACCAAAAGACCACATGTCTCTGGAAGCTCATATCCACCAGTGGAAAGGCAGTAAGAGGAAAGGCAATTTCCCATCCTTAAAATTTACAATTTCAGAAATCCAAGGAAGATCACTATGAATGGTCAGATTGACTTGACAGCAGTGACATTGAGAGCTTCCTTTAGGAACCAGTCAAAGGTCATCACATGCTTGAACTAAATGCAATGGATGTCTCTCCTCATCTTTTGTTGTAATTGTCCAGAATTTTTCATTTCACTTTCCTTTTGGCACTCATGCCCAAACAAGAAATCATCTTTCAGTAATGAATTAAGTTTCTGAACATATTTGATCAATTTTTGTGACTAATGTTATTTCTTCTATGTCACGCTTTATTTTGGAGATTGACACTGTTACAGAGTTATGCACTATGCTAACATTTTTGTAAAAGTTTATATGTAGTAAACTCCATTAAATCTTTGCACATCTGAAAATACTTGTATGCTGTAATTTTTGATGGATAGTTTAAATAAATACACTTTAGGTGAACTAAAGAAAAGTAAAGAAAAATACTGTGAAAGTGAAGCACATAATAACAAAAATAAAAAACTACAGCTGTCAATATGGATTACATCTCAACATCAAGAAAAGAAAAATGGACTTCCGAATAGGGTCATGGCAGAAAGGTGGGCATAGTTTGTCCCTCCCATCCCACAAAAGAGCTCCCATTCTAGATGCCAAGGGCTAAGTAAGCTTGTGTCAGGAGTTGCCAGTCATTTGGTTGAATGCTTAAGGCCTCGGGAAAAGACTGGAGAACTAAGGAAGAAACGTACTGTGCCCAACAATTAAGATATGGTGGAAGTGAAGTCAATGTTTTGGGAAGTGCTTCCAAAACAAGGGCAGCTGTCTGTAGATGTAAATACAATGGTGGTATGTAAGCCTAAACTTTTACCCTTAAAATCTCTGACTCTGGAAAAAATGGAGAATATGCAACAAGCAGCACAGAATACAATTCACCAACAAGAAATGGCAGAAAAGGAAAACCAGCAAGTAACTCACTGATGAGCCAGCAGTTGTGCAAACACCCTACCTAGTATTTACGGACAACTAGAAAATAATTGACATTTATATAGTAAAAGTTGTATTTGTGAATAAAACTAATATTCATAT